CACATGTCTGCATGTGTCCCTCTCAATCCTTAATTTCCTTTTCTCATTCCTCTTGCCACCATCTCTATTATCACTGCTATTTACTCTGCATAAAGGGACCTTATACCTCTCTTAATCTCTCATCATTCACCAATTTTATTATTACAAAATTCTTTTTCTTACATCTTTTCTCCTCCTCTTTTTTAACTTTTCGTATTTTATCTATTTGCTAAATAACGTCATTCTTTCAACATGATGACAAAACGTATAAAAAAAGTGGAAAATATAATGTAATTAAGAAATTGGAACTTATGAATGGGGACACAAAAACTGGATGAAAAATTCATAAAAAGTATAATATTTAAATGGTAAATATTATTTTAAACAATGGTGAAAGTAATAATATGGAATCATTTTCAAATTTTAAATTAATTTTTGATGTCAAGTTCAAATTTAAATTCTAAAATATATCAGAATATTGTGTAATATTTAATAGAAAGTTTAGATTAATTAGGAATATAACTTAAAAAACAATTCTTATATCATGAGTTGATTGAGGCTTTAACGTAAAATTAGAACAGTCTACCATTTAGTATTAGTTTTGTGAATGGGGAATGTATAAAGTGATATAAAAATGTTGAGAGGGGAATACCAATTTTAGAAGCGTAGTACTCCTTTATTCCATCCTCACATGGGTCTTTCTCAATTTGGCCTATTGACGTACATTTATATTATAGTTTTGGTTATGTTGTACCTGCACAATGTTGATTTTTCATTGCGTATTATTAAGATTACGAAGGTAGGTGATGAAGTGTATAGGCAAGTAGCTAGGTTATCTAGTGAAGGACTCAATTTCGAATTAAGATTTGGTTGGAGGTCATTTTCTTTTGGTACATGCAAGAGTTCATGTCTAACAAAAGTTAATTAAGCTCTATGTTTCATTTCATAAAATATTATTTTACACTCTCTCAAAATTACATCAAAACTCTCCTTTTTCTTCCTCTTTTAAAGTCTACGTTATTAGATTTGAGAAATCATTCTTTAATTGTTTTTAATAGTAAACAATAATTATTCAAATTTTTAGGATTTTTTTATGTAATGGGTATTTCTAATTTTTCACTATATGGTATCAATAAATAAAAAAACGTTTTCAACCATGAGATGGTTGTCATCATTAATCTCACTTTTGATATCATTAAAAAGTAATTTTATTAATCTATTTTTACTTTAAAATATTAAATGCATGTTACTAAACTTTAATATTATTTGTATTCTTTCATATCCATCTACCTTTTCAGAATTCAGATAAATATTTTCTTATTATTAAATGCATGTTACCATAAATTATTATTTTTTACCTCTACTTTATTCTCTATATAATTTTTTTAATTATAAAAAATACATATTAGCTAATACTAATTTTTATACCTATCAGATTCACTTTATTATCTATTTTAGTATGTATTGATAGTATAAACACATTCGCTGTCAGGAAAATGATCATTAAAATACAAATAATATTCTTAAATATAATTATTATCTTGACTATTGATTTCTATAAGTATTTCTAAATTCAAATTTAAAAGTTATAGTACTCTTTTAATCATAATGCTAGTTAAAAGTGCTAATATATATATATATATATATATATATATATATATATATATATATATATGATTTTCCTAAATAATGTTAATTATATTTACAATGTGTACAGTTTGTTTGAAACATAAAAATAAAATTGAATGAACATCATAATAAAAAAATAGTTATTAATGACTATACCTAGAATTTATTCATTACAAAATCTTCTTTAGTGAGAAAAGATATATATATATATATATATATATATATATATATATATATAATATTGTCTTCTGAAAAATAGAATGAATGAGCAGAAAACGAGTGTTTGAGTCACGAGTTTTCATAGAAAGGTTTTTGTAATTTTGATTCAGAAAGAAATGCTTTACCGACAACTTTTTCAGTGAGAAATTGGGATGGTTACTGACAAAGACACATAAAATGTTGAAAAAGAGAGAAAATTGATGAAGAAGAGGCACGATTTTTATCTGGTGGCTCACTTAAGACATCTCATACTAAGACCATCACAAATCTGTTGTGTAATCAAACACATAACAATTCTCAATATTCCCTCCATATTCAAACTATTTTTTAGTACTTCATTTTCAGAAAAATCATTAAACATGAATATAATAATTTCTTACATCAATTTCTACTTTCTTTGTGTAAATAATTTCATATTATTCAACAATTTCTATCAGATCATATATTTGAAGGGATTAGCTCTAATTTAAAGTTAACTTAAATTTAATTTGATTAAAATTTGTACATATTTACTTTCTTGTATATTTTTACAATTTAGTGTTATTTAATTTGTTTTTACATGGAATAGTGTGATATTCTATCCTCTTTTTCCTCACATTTTCATGTGTGTTGAAAATGTATTAATGCTATATAAATAATTAAGAGAATGAAGAACTCCATTTTGTTAGTAGTTATGAAAAATTTCTTAATACAAAAGAAATGATTGTATGAATATTTTTTTCTATTATATTACAACCAATGATTGTATAATTACTTTTAAATGTAAATTAGACAACTGATTATTTCAACTATTGCTAATTTGTTTGTCTATTTTGGAAATAAAACAAAACTCTTAACATTTAATCTACAATTAAATAATAAATATTTAAATTTAATATAATGTAAAAAGAATAAAAATATCATAAATAAAAGTTAAACAAAACTTAATGATCCATAAAACGTGTATCATTTATCATGACATAAATTTAATCATGATATACAACATATAATTAGAAATTTTTAACATATTATAAATCTAATTATAAGACAAATTATTCAATTTTGTTAGACATCTCCACCATAAATATATTAACTATTCTTTAAATTGAAATCGTTGTTGTTTCAATAAATTTAATTAGATACACTCATCTCCTTCAAGTTAAGATTTTCTCATTAAGAAACTGTTTTTTAAAATAAAATAAAATAAAATTGGTGCAACAAACATCATACAAATATATTAATGTGAATTTTTATGTTTTTTATTAAATTTACCGAAATAAAAAAAGTTGCTCCTATCCTTTCTTAGTTGAATGAATATTATCTACGTATCCTTTCTCAAAACACTGTAAAATTGTTATTGAAACATTTGAACTCACTTTTGTTTTGGAACTAACACTACTAGAAAACTAGTTTTTTTCTGCTAATTTTCTTGCAAAAAATTGTTTTAATTTATAGAAAACTTATTTCTTGCAATTTTTACCAAAATTTTGCAAAAATATTCCCATGAAAAATAAAATTTTTTAGTAGTGAAATAAATTAAATTTAATGAGAATCGGTTTGTGATTTCAATAGATAAACTCGAATCAATACAATTATACAAAATTTTACATGACTAAATAGTTTGAATCTATGTATGATAATCTTATATAACTAAATTTTTCTATAGTAATATTTATTATTAGTCAGTTTATTTAAACAAATTATGATAATAAAAATAGAATTTAACGTAATGGAACCTGATTAATTCAAATTCAATAATTTGATTGGTTTGGTTTGAAGATGTGTTGTTAAAAGATTGAAAATACATGGTGTCTGAAAATATCTATCTGATTTAAAAATATATATTTAAGGCTAATGAGAATAATAATAATTGAGAATTGGCGTGTAGGAAAGGAAAGGAAAGGAGGGAAGAACAAGTTGTGTTTGTTGGGAATAAGATACGAAAGAAGAAGAAGAAGAAGAGAGAGAGAGAGATAAGGAGACTGTAAGGCCTAGGGGTCGGTGGCCCCAAACCATCCTCTGCTAAGGGACACACTAGACTGTGCTGTGTAAGAGCTGCATAATAGGGACATAAATTACCCTTCATCCATCATTTTGCTACTTCACCACACTAAATTACTTTCCCTCACAAAATGCACAGTTAACAAGGATGAGGAAAATGTATAAAGCCAAACAAAAGGACAAAAGAGAGAGAGAGAGAGAGAGGGGAAAAAAATGAGATATGGGTATGCGTATGGGTGGACAAGTATGCTAAGTATTATTTATGTAGAAGACTTCAAATGATTGAGAATAAGGGAAGAAGTTAGCTAGTGAAGAAGCAAAATTTTATGCATAACAAAACAATAGGTAGCTAGCTAGAGAGAAAGATGAGTAGGTATTCAGAGTGATATTGTTTTCTTCCTCTCTTCCTCTCAGAATTGTTGCTGTCTCCTTTTGATAAAATTCTTCTTGGTGTTTTCTGGGTTTAATCTGAAGCCTTTTTAAGAGACAGCAAAGCACCGAAAATCAAACATATATAGCCTCACTCAGGTCCTAGTTCTTTCTCTCTTTTTTCACATGGTTTTTGTTTCCCTTCTGCTATCTTCATATATGGTTCCAAGAGACACGAATATATTAGAGTTTTTTCTTCTTCTTTTTCTTTTATTTGAGAACTTCCAGATTTGCTCCCAACTTTGGAAAACAACATGGCTTCTGCTTCCTCATCCACACCCTTCTTGGGAATCAGACAAGAAAATCAAAGTCAGGTTACACAACAGCACCAATCCTCCACAGCTGCTTCCTCCACTACTACTTCTACTACTCCAACCACACTGCCTCAAAAGAAGAGAAGGAATCAACCAGGAACACCATGCAAGTAGCTCTATGCATTCTTCATTAAATTCCATTACTTCAAAAAGCATTTGCATGTTAATGGAAAATGCCCCTTCTGTGATTTGTTTCTAGATTTTCTCTTTCTCCCGAGAAACTAATATGGCAAAGAAACCCTAAATCCTGTATATTACATAGGACTGGGAATTTTTTTAACTCAATAAAGGTTAATCAGAATGCCAAGGCTTCTTAATTTCCTCTATGTTATTCACTTTATTTATTTTAGTTATTCTCTCTCAGCATGTATTGAAGCACAGAATTTTCTAACAATTGGATGTTTGGCTTTATTTAATAAATTTTGTTCTTGAATTCCCTGTAATGGGAACATGTATTTATGTATGTATGCAGATCCAGATGCTGAGGTGATAGCACTCTCTCCCAAGACTCTAATGGCAACAAACAGGTTTATATGTGAAGTGTGCAACAAAGGGTTCCAAAGGGAGCAAAACCTACAGCTTCACAGAAGAGGACACAACCTGCCATGGAAGCTAAAGCAGAAGACTAATAAAGAGCCAAAGAGAAAGGTTTATCTGTGTCCTGAGCCCACATGTGTTCACCATGATCCTTCAAGGGCTCTTGGAGACCTCACTGGTATCAAGAAACACTACTCTCGCAAACATGGTGAGAAGAAGTGGAAGTGTGACAAGTGCTCCAAGAAGTATGCTGTTCAATCAGATTGGAAAGCACACTCCAAAACCTGTGGCACCAGAGAGTATAGATGTGACTGTGGCACCCTCTTCTCAAGGTATGCAACAATTCACAACTCAATTACATGCCAAAATTACCTTTGGTTCTAATATTGAATGTTTGGTGTAGCTAAAATATTATCTTATAAAACAACTTTTCAGCTAAAGCCACTCTAAGCGCATTTTGATTGAGCAGGGAATAAGATATGCGGATATTGTATCATATTACATACACACTTTTCACCTAACTCTTCTAAGAAAAATGAACTTCTTATGGGTACTAGGACTAGTAGATTTGGGTAAGTTTTATATATAGTAAATGAAAGAAAAAAAAATGTGCTCGAGGTAACGAGGAAAATAATTAAACTTTTTGGTACTCATTTTCTATTATTCTATGCACTTTTTTGTTTTATCTCTGTCTTTTCTTTTAATTAATTATTACATCTCCCATTGTGAGCTTTCCAATCTAATTATCTGAGTTCAAAAAGGGTGTAATGCAAACTGAGTATCATAGTCTACTCAAATAAAACTTCCGAGGACAATTAAAGAAGACCTTTTTCATGATAAAACTGAAAGGAAATTTCTCGAACAACTACTGACCAATTCTGATGTTCTGCGTCTTTTACATATAAAAATATTTTCTATCACACCATCTACATATCACATTTCATAATTTTCTCCCTATTTAATTGGAAGTACACTGTGATGAATGTAAAGTTAAAATTAAAAAAAAAATGTTTTTGCAACGTTAAAACATAAAATTGAGCAAGACCGTTCTACTTTTTGTAGTGTTAGTTTATGTGTGGGTGTTAGTGGAGGGACGTGGAGGTGGCAGAAGACTGCTCGCACGTGAGCACAGTGCACAAAAGTGTTTGAAAATTTTGAAATGTTTTGAGAAGAAAAAACAAGGGAAAGCTCAACTTTGTTCCTCGGGAACAACGCCCCTTATCCTTATTCCCATTCACGTGTAGTTATAAGCAACAATGTAAAAGAGTGCACAGGCTCAGGCACAGTGATACTGGGTTTGTTCTCACATGACTTGGAGTTGCATTGTTTTGTTTTGTTTCGTGTTGGATACCTATATAATTCATACGTGTACGTGGTTTCAAATCAGGTACAATTTCTTTGCCATGGTACAATGCATTCATGCTTCTTATTAATTCTCACACTGGCCCTTTGTTTCTTCAAGTGATTTGTGCAACAAATTGAGTCCTCTGCATTAATGTTTCATATCTATAGTTTCATGATTTTTCTCTCACTGAGAATTTCCGAGAATTTAGCAACCCTTTTGCTGGTACGATCGTTTTCACAAGAATTTTCTCAGGGTGGAAAATGGACAACTCATGAGGCAGTTTGCATTTATTGAGCCTGGACCCATACTCAGCTTATTATTATTGACTTTCATCAAATGTGTAAATAATTCTTTCTTCTCAGTCATCACAGAGAGGACTCAAAGTGGTAGTTCGATAATGAGTTGTTGGTGTGTATTACATTTTCGCATAATCCTCTGGGCCCTATCACTCTTCCTGTCATACTTCTATTCATTTCAAAATACAGTTGATCGAATTTCAACACAAAAATTATCATCCAACTTCAATACTTAATTTGCTATTTTTTTTTTTTTTTATAACTAATTTTATGTGAAACAACCGTTTTTCTGCACCACAAAATTTAGATCTTACTTTCTAATTTTATATCTCATCCTTCTTTTGGCAAGTGTGAAATTGTTTATGTCAGTGGCTGTGGTTACATTGCCACTAGCCATGATCTTCATAATTAATTTTGAAATTTTCTCTCTTATTGTTTCTGGAGTTCAACTATGTGAATTCTTCATGTACAGGACCATAATGTATCTTTCTCTTTCTAACCTTTAACCGATATACCTGCAATATATATGAATCGTGATATATACTTGGATGAATTTAGTTTGGATTATTTCCTTATGCCAGCTATTATGAACTAGAATTGTGTTTACATATAACATTTTTGTTCTTTAATTCCAATAATATCTTAATATTTTGCTGCAGACGTGACAGTTTTATCACTCATAGGGCCTTTTGTGATGCTCTAGCACATGAGAGTGCAAGACACCCTTCCAACCTGAACCCTTTGGGAACTCATCATCTGTATGGCACAAACCACATGAGCCTAGGTCTTGGTGCCCAACTTCAGAACCAAACAGCCACTGCTAACAGCTTATTGAGCCTAGGAAGTGCACCAAAGTTTGAGCACTTAATCTCTCCTAATCTGCACCACTCATCTTCATTTGGAGTGCAGTCACCACCCCAGTCATCATTCTTCATGACTGACCCGAACCAAGCATTTCAAGACCTTCAGTCTCAGCAGCAAGCACCATTATTCTCAACCAAACAACTCCATGGTCTTATGCAACTCCCTGATCTTCAAGGAACCACCAATAACTCCACTTCTGCTTCACCAGTGTCTGCTTCAGCTAATAACGCCAATCTCTTCAACCTCGGCTTCTTTCCTAATACCAATACCAGCGGCAGCATAATCAATGACCAATTCAGCAACATAAGTGGAGGCAATAACCAAGGAACAACAACATTCTATAGTACTAGTAGTCCTGCAAGTAACCAAGTTGGTTCAGGCTTCTCTTCACTCTTTGGAAATTCATCTTTGCCACAAGATAACATGTCCCCTCACATGTCAGCCACTGCACTGCTTCAGAAAGCTGCTCAAATGGGTTCAACCACAACCACCAATGGTCCCTCCTCTCTACTGAGAGGAACAGAAGAATTGGGTGTAAGGTCAGGCATGGAGAATGAGCGCAGTAACCATCTACGCGGGTTGATGAACTCTCTTGTCCATGGAAACGCTTCCATATTTTGCAATGTGAAAGGGAACGAAAACAACCTTGGCCAGTTTCACAACGTGGTGGAGGAGCCTAAGAAGATGTCACAAAATCTTGGTGTGTGCTTTGGAGGGTCTGATAAGTTGACCTTGGACTTTTTGGGGGTTGGAGGAATGGTCAGAAACATGAACAGTAGTGGGTTCTCACAAAGAGAGCAACAACACTCCATGGGAACTATGAGCCCCCTGGATCCTAAATTGGAATCAGCACAAGCAAACCAACAATTTGGAACCTCAACACTCTAATAAATTGGTGGATAAGAGACTAAACATACGTGATCTCTCTATGCTTTCAAAAACAAAGTTGGGTTAATTTGTTAGGCAGAAAAAAAAATGTTTATTGTTTTATATATGTTCTAGTTCTTAAACTTTTTCCTTGAAGAAAGTTCCACTTCCAATTGGTAAGTTAGGGTTTCACTTCTAAAGTATGCAATATCCATGTATTTTTCTTGAAACATATATATGGGTCCCTTTCCTTTTTCACTCACTTTCACCATGGAAATTTCATTCTCTTTGACAGTGATAGATATCTAATAAATTTACTGTTGCATTGAATTTTACGACCCTGGGGTAAATTAAACAAGTTACTGACAGTAAAAGCACATGGTAAAGACCAGGCTCTGTACAATACTTACCAAACGACGAAGCTGGCACTCACTTCCTGAGAATCTTCACATGTTGGCTATATTCCAAGGGAAGCGACAAATGCTAGCTGCAGATTTCATTTCAGTTTAACTATTCTCCTTTGGGGTGATATAATATTGACTAATTAAAAGGGTTTCAATTTCAATCTTTAAAATAAAGCCAATTAAGAAGTCTTTTCTTGATACCTAATACCTTGCATAGTTTAGGAAAAAGACTAAGCATGACATTAATGTTGAGATACTAAATTGTGTTGACATTCCTTGCTTAACAACGACTCTATAGTCTAAGGCTTTTTCATATAAACATTCCTCACCAAGTTGACTACCTTTGAAATTGTTTCTCTCTCTCTCTCTCTCTCTCTGGTTTCAACTGCTTGCATGATAGCATGCACTGTAGCGTACTTCCTTAGTCGTAAAGGGTTAGCTCTCACATCACTTATTCAAGTTGTGAATGATTTTTAGGAAGTTAATGAAGGTGCTGCCTGACCGTACTGTATCTAGCAGAAAAAGTAGCCTGTAATGTTCGTTAGAGCAATTATAGGAAAACATTATGTGACACTTTTGTCGCATGTGATGCCATTTGATTCCACGTATGGGAATCATTTAGTCCGTGACCAAGAAAGGTGAGTAATGTTACATCCCTTTGAAATGGTTTAGTTGGAAACTTTTCACCCTTTTTGTTTTTGGATATTCTGGATCAATTCATTAACCATCTTATTCTTTATATTAATTTACTGTTGGAAATAAACAAAGAAATATATGTCATCATTTATAATTTTATATAATTACTCTCCTTTCAATCAATTTTACTGTTTAGACGGTAGATACATGCAAGATTTCTTTCATAATAGGTCATGAGTAATTATAATAATCTTTAAATGCCTTCAAAACTCGTGAATCAGCGAGGGTTGTTTCTACTGTGTTTCATGTGATTATTTCTTAGGTTGTGTGATGCTTAATTCGTTCAGAACTCGTGTCTCTTGAGCTAAGTGCAGAAGGAGCACCAAAACTTTAGAAGATCGATTGTCAAATAATTTATTAATATTAAATTATACTTATATTTAATTATTATTATTAAATAATAAGTTACGTTTGTTATATATATATTTTTAGTATTAATAATATTATTAATAGGTAATCAATTCTGCTTCTCAAATTATTTATTAATATTAAATTGTATATATATTTAATTACTACTATTAAATAATAGTTATATTTATTATATATACTTTTAATATTAATAATGTTATTAATATATTAATAGAACTAATTTAATTCTCATTGAATAGATTTTCCTTCGTTATTAAATTTTTTATTAATATTAAATTATACTTATATTTATTTTTTATTTTAAATAATAACTTGTGTTTATTATATATGTGTTTAATATTAATAATGTTATTGATATATTAAAATTAATAAAAATATTATTTATTAGTGTGTTAATGGGAAATTAATAATTTTATAATTGTCCATTATTTAAAGCATTATATAATATATAAATATTTGGTATAATTTTGCAAACTAATTGTAAAATATAATATATTATAAATTTTAGTAAAGAGAATATGTAAATTAGAGATAATCAGCATCAAACATATATTTCAGTAATCTCGATATTAATACTAATAATATTGTGAATATTGATTTTAATTTTAAAAATATTATTATTTTATAAATGAAAAACTAAATGAAATAATGATATATAAATAAATAAGAATCTAAATTTATTATTTTTATAATGGGTGTAGTTTTATAATTTTTTATTTATTTATTTTACCTTATATTATTATTTTTATATGAAATTAGTTATAATAATTATTTTAAAATTTATGATAAGATGATTTTGAATTATTAGTTTACAATCATTTTAATGTGAAACAATTTAAAAAAACAAATTGAAGTGGGTAAATAATTTTTTTAAACTTTTTTATTTTAAAAAATAATTCATATTTTACTTTAACATAATTTACCTAATTATATTTTATTTTAAATTGTATTTTTAAGATAAGATACAATTATAATTTTACAATTTTATCAATTAAAATATTTTGTGTAATTTATCAAACCAATTACATTATTCACAAACTTTTCTCTTATTTCTTATCAATTTTTCCTTAATCCAAACAACTTCATTTTTTACTCTCTTTCCCTCAAATCCACCCATTTTCACTCCCTCAAATCCATCTTTAAATCCAATCACATGATAACTTAATGTAAGTTCTAGGGACAGATTAAGGTAACTTAACTTCTTACATAACTTACAGTAGATCTCATTAGAATAAAGAAAGGTTAAATTAATTTAGATATTAATTCCTGAATTATTAAAATGATTTTAAAAATAAATACTTATATATTTATAGGAATTTAATTGTAAGAATTGCACCGGTACATAGAAATGGTTATGGCGATAATTTTGAAATTTAGAATGGTATTTTTACATTAAATTAACCAATTAAAAAACGTATTTCTTTATAGTAATTATAACTAATGTAAAATGTGCTCTTAATATTTTGCAACTTAATTTCATTTCCCAGGTGCACCCTCCAAACCTTGTCTCTCTCTCTCATCCTTGCTTTCTCTCTAATGAACCCTCACTCTCCCTTTGGGTTCTCTTCATACTTTAGGTGTTTGCGTTGGTGGTGCGATTCTTTGATTTATCTATATCCTTGTGTTCCTTAGTCCTTCCTCGTCGCACTTTTTTGGTGGTGAAATTTTATTTGGTTTGGTTAATTTGACCTAGGGTGGTGTGTTTGATGATTTTGCTTGGTTATGGATATTGATGTTGAAAATTTCATGCTCTATTATGGTAATATTGATTGAATTTGAAATTGGGTTTTATTATTCTTTGTTTGAATCGTTCGAATAAGATCTAAAGGGGAGTAATTTGTAGTCATTTATCATTCTCAAAATATGAAACTTAGAGGTGGATTGGCTTAATTAATGATTATATGCGCTTGAATTAATTTAGAATTGAAGGTTTGTTTGGTTAATTTTGGCTGTAGGTTCAATTTAATCATGGTTGTAGAGAGTTTTTTAGAACAAAAAATGCATTGAAATTCAACCATTATGAGGGATCATGAAGGAGCCGAATCTGATCTTACAACAACACTTTGATCTTTCGTCACCACAAATCCATCAGACGATAATACATTTGAGGATTGTAAGTAAATTTTGAGTTCTGGTTGTAATTGTAACAACCTTTTACAAATTGTCTTACAAACTTCTCAGTTATATGTTCTAGGGTTCTTGATTGTAACAACCTTACAAAATGTCTTACAAATTGCCCTTCCTTCTTACCCCAAAATATAAAGCTCAAATAATTTTTTAACCTGAATTAATTTCCTATATTCTTTAGCACCATATTTGTTTACACCAACGAGTAAATGTTTCCCCAACCTCATATCCCATCTTTCTGGTGCAAGAGTGAGGGCTTCGTAAAGAAGTCAATGATGGGTAAAAATCTAGAATGAAAACAAAATTATCAATTTTAATTATGTGTTCATTTGCAAGGAATAAGAAAAGTGAAAAGGGGTTAGTGATATATATATATATATAATACGTATTTTATTTTTTCACTCAAAAGTAAAAATAATAAAAAATAAATAAATTACTCTCTCTTATAAAGATTATCTATTCCCATAACCATTTACAAGTTGAAACTCAAGTATTTTTAGAAAAAATATAATTTTGTGATAAAAAGCATTTAAAATATATATCAGAGTATATATTATTAAAAATATGAAATCTTGGATAATTTAAAAAGCTATTTAATTCATTAAAAAAATAATTAATAATTATATAAGCAAATTTGAAATTAAATAAATATTTATTTAATTTTTTTAAAAGAATATTTGATTTTTCTTTTTTCACACTTTCTTTTCTTATTATCTCATGTTAATTTTCGTCTTATTTATTATTGGTGCATGTGGTTAATTTTTGTGTGTTGTTTGAGAAAAAAGTGATGATGATAGCTTGAATTGAAGTGAGGAGTTTCTATTAACTTGTCAATTTTTGGCTATGGTGCTATAACTCGTGGTTGTTGATGTTAATTCTTAATTTTACTTAAAAAATGTAAGGTTGGTTCAGTGAAAAATTAGGGTCATTGGTGTAATATAGCCATATATTTTGGTGACATAATCCAACATGGCTCTCTATGATGGGCCAGGAAGCCCTAAGACCCACATCATCACTATGTACTTCCTCCTTCATTTCAGTAATCTTTCACTGCTTTTTAGATCCCTTTTTTTCCAATTAAATCTAAATTCAGAGGCAAAGACACTTTCACAAAAGAAAATCTCAAGCTTTGAAAAAAGAGTACAAAAGTCAGAAAGAAAGTTAAATACATTATCTACACAAAAGCAAGTCAAAAGTAAGGACTTCTGTAGTTTTGTTTTGTTTTTTAATTTTGAAAATTAATTTTGGAGATTAATTTTAAAAATATATTTTTAAGTAATAAAAGATAATATGGATGATCATAAAAAATGATAACCAAAGGTAAAAAATAATTTTAATAACTTTATAATAATAAAAATGAATAATTTAATGCAATTATTAAATATAACAGTGAATATCATTCATAACAATAGAGAATTATAAAAAAATACATTTTTATTAAAATATTTTAAAATTTGTTTTAACAGTTATCAAATAATTTGTTTTATTTTTAAAAATTTTATAATTGAAAATTATCTATAAAAAAAAATTCCTGCATCTTCTCCAAAACCTTGCCCAGTGCTTAACAAAAGTGGCATCAAATAGTAGTGATAAACCAACTTATTATATAAAGACAAAATAAAGAATATAACTCGCATATATAAAATTTAGGTCATGATAGAAGGCCTCAATCTGCATCAGTTAGGCAAATATAACTAATATATATATATATATATATATATATATATATATATATATATATATATATATATATATATACTAAACAAATTATCATATTCCATGGAAATAATTTTGCAAAGTTTTTATAAAAATTGCAAGAAATAAGTTTTCTACAATTTACAAGAAAATTGGCAGAAAATAACTAGTTTTCTAGTTATATATATATATATATATATATATATATATATATATATATATATATATATATATATATATATATATCCACATTTTTAATCCTAAAGAACTCTTTTATTAGAAATTTAATATAAAACTATTCGTTAATATCTTTACCTATTATTACTCTTTATTTTATACTTTCCCTTTGCATAGGACAACTTTGATTTATGTTTTTTATTTAAGAATTGTGTTTAAATATGCTATTTATTCTAGCAGATATTTTGTATGTGTGCCTTTAATTATCGAATTCCGAATTATTAAACTACTAAACTATCTAACACAAATTCTCAAAAACAAATGAGGTTTGAAAAAAAAATCAACTGTTAAATACTTTTTTTTTCATTTTGATAGTAGTTTCTTCTTTCCATTATCATAAATTTGCTAATTTGTTCCTCTTTATTAATACGATTTGATTTTTAAAATATTTTTTCTATTCTGTTTAATTCCTTTCTTTTACTAAAATTGAATATCAAAAAATATTTACTTATTTTAAAAATATATATTAAAAATTGGCCTTTTTATGTTATTTATTTTGTAATGTATTGTAATAATTTATGTTAATTATTACATTATACTGAAGTATAAGTCTCTTATATTTTTAAATATATATGTGTGTGTATATGATAACTACTCTAACCATATATGTATGAAAGCATTGTTTAATACCAAGTTAAACCATGAAAATGTTGAAACAAGTATAAACATAGTTTGAAATCCTAATAGCAATTTGTTTATGCTTCCACATTATAAGGATGCAAGGAAAAAGTCAATTATGATCTGTTTGAAAATCTTGAAACTAGCTAGCTCTATACAGAAACTCCAATATGCTGCTCCCGAAGACCCACATAGATGCCCTAATTGCTCGTTTTTCAATGGATCTACTTCACATCCTGCAAAAACCAAAGTCCAAAAATTGTAATTATTAGAGATTAGACTACTCTCAGATAAAAAACACACAAAAAAAGATTGTTATAGCAGATTCTAGTCTAGATGACAAATACGTTGTTCGCATTATATAACCTAGTTTTTGTAAGTCTCCACAGTTTCAGAGAAAAGGAAAACCAAGAAAGCTTCTCCAAGCTTTATTTCTTACCCATGTCACCCTCAAAAATATAGTAAATTGCAGCTATCTGTTTACAGTTCATTCAAGTTGTAATTTTAAGATGAAACGATGACAGTTAGATAAAAACAGTAGAATGCCTTATCAACAATATGATATGATCCCCTGATTCAATGAACTTGCATAGTGGTAATGTATATATATATATATATCGATAAAAAGGGAATATATATGAGAAGTATGGTATACGAAAAGAAAAAGAAAATTTTTTAACACAAACAAACTAAACAAAAAAGAGTTAGTTAAGATAATTTAGTCTATAGATCTTAAAGACATGGAAAGACACCTACACTAAAAAACCTAAATATGGAATCATATATAAACCAAAAGGACATGAAATAAAAACCAAACATATTGACAGAAAGTTAAGGTCTCTCTGTCTTCATCTCTTTAGATTTAGGTAGGGAGGGTGGGACTTTTCTTTTTCAAAGAATTAAATAATTAAAAAAAATAACTGGGTGACTGGTAAAATTGAGAGTACCATGTGATAACAGGTAATACAAATTCTTACAATACTCATCCATTATCTTTCCTTTCATGGAATAAAATGATTATTTATTAATATATATATATATATATATATATATATATATATAGTCATGATTATATTTTATATTTAAATAGTATTCGTGTTTATATATAAGATTCACAACTCAGTCAGTCTTTTTTTAACTTTATATGAAAAACACTGAAGATTTGTGAAATGAAAATGAAGATTATAAATATAATAACTTCAAATACACACACAAAGTAATTGCACATCTTAATTAGTTTCAAAAAGTAAAGAATTAAACATATTATAGTGCCTAAAGCATTTTTAAGGGACCAATTTCACTATCTAATACTTATCTAACAATCTATTGTAAAGACTCTACCTATATATATCTATTATATTATTAATATATTTTTCCTCTAACACAATATAACCCTATTTTACTGCATGTTAAACCAAATGCTAATTAGGAACAAATTCAGTTTCAATTTCTCTCAAATGATTTGTTTGTTTTATACATCTTCTATATGGGATAATCTTAATTAAGATGTTAAATCTCTCTCAAGGAGACTCGATTTATGATTTGCTAATACAACTATGTTTTACTGGACTCGAACCACATTGATAGAACTGGTTTATATTTAATTGATAAAATATCATTAATCCGGTTTAACAATAGTGTTTCATTATTATCACTTTTTAAAAATGTCCAGTAATTTTTTTTTCAAAATAACATTTTAGGAAAGTTTAAATAAAATACATGTCTTATATATATAAACGGTTGAAATATTTTTTATCAAAATAAAATAAATAATTAGATAAATTTTTAGTTATTATTAGTTCGTTGAATTTTAAAGTTAAAAACTGTTTGTTATAATATATTGGTTTTATAAAATGACACAGAAAAACGTTAAGTATAATTGTGAATATAATTAAAACTAATTTATTGTTTTCATGATTTTAGAGTATTTATTTATTGATATAGTTAAAAGTAAGGTATCATTTTATTAAACAATATTTTTTTCTTAGAAAACTTTATACAAAATGAACTAAATAAATAATATACAGTAAGATATCACGTGGCTTTGAATAAAAGAGTATAAAAGTTCTGAAACTGTTTTATTTCGAGTTTTGTTTTGACAGCGTGATGGGTAAGGTAATTGTGACAGATAAGAAAGAGAGGGAATAATAATAGCATCAAAGTTGATAGGAGCATGGATATGATCGAGCATGCCCTCCAATTAGGTTGAAGGGCACTCGTGACTCTGGCAACCCCCTATATACTAAAATATCCAAAAATGAAACCAAATGAAAAGGAGAAGACAATAGAAGAAACAAATTTCTGCACCACATCGTTGTCCACCCCATGCAAGACAACATGTCAGGATCAGAGTACAGACCCTTTCTCTCAACAAAAATATTCAAAATCTCAAGGACCATTTTGTTTTTCCAAACAATACTATTCTTTCTCAGTTTCATGCTCAAATGCATGTTAACGACTCCACTGGAGAAAAGAAAAGCTGAGAGAGAGAGAGAGAGAGAGAGAGAATATGCATAAATTTTAATAATTTAAATCACTGTCTGCACCCCAAAATGGGGTAGATTGGAATGAAAAAGAATACATAGATAAGATTAAAGAAGAAGAGAAGGTAGAGAAGAAATAATAAAATAAAATAGATGTTTAATACATACACATGGAATATTTTTGAAAAAGCCAAAACCCTTAGGAAAGGGAATCTACTTATTTCATGAGTAGTTTCACGTGTTAAATAGTCAAAAGTTTTTGACGATTGTAAAGTCGGCAGGTGTAAATTGAAAATGGTTTATAAATATAAAAATAGAATAATAAAAACATTATTTTAATATAGAGACAGATAGATAAAAGAAATAATTATATGCAGCAATTTCATGCGTAATGGTGCAGACAAAAATGATAATTTGTCAAAGGTAAGGACTTTATGTTTTGACGTACCTTTTTGTACTTCTTCACTGAAAGTTTCCTCCACCTCCGAAAGATTGACTTGGCGGCGCAGCATTATTTGTCTCTGCTTCCAAAGAACTCAAGTTAAACCCTCGTTGTTGTTGTTGTTGCTGTGCAACTCCTAGAAAATCCCTTGTGAGCCTATCAGAGGCTCCAACGCTGAGTTTTGGTTCCTTGTTCATGCCATGATCATATGCTTCGAACCCGGGAAGGTTCATCATCTCTTGCACGCTGGAGTTCAAGATGCTGCTGTAGTTTGCAGGACTGATCAGTGGCCTGTGATCAGATTTGGATGCCAAGCTTCTGAGAATAGAGGAGGCGCTTGTGTTGTTGTTGTTGCTGGAACTTGCAGCACCCATTTGAGCTGCTTTTTGGAGCAGTGCAGTAGCTGACATGTGAGACATGTTGGTGCTGTTTTGAAGAGAGGTGCTGAAGAGAGAAGGGGCAGCGGCGGAGCTTGCTTGGTGATCAGTGCCAATTATGGTACCTTCTGAGAAGAAGTTTGACCCTTCATTGGTGTTAAAGTGCTGTTCATCAGAATAGTTGTTGGTGGTGGTGTGGCCTCGGTTGGATAGAAAGGGAAGGTTGAAGAGGTTGGAGCCAGAAGGGTTGCTGTTGTTGAGGTCAGATAATTGTATCAGTCCTTGGAATGGCTTGTTTGAGATTAACCCTTGTTGATGATCATGGTAGTTCTGGTTTTGGTTTGATTCTGGCATGAAGAACGGAGGGGTTTGCATTTGCATGGTTTGGTGCGAGGAGGGTCTGAAGGGTGAGGCAATGTTTGGTGGGAGAATGTGATCAAATTGACCAGTCCTTGGTGCACCCCCAAAACGCAATAGTTCACTAGATTGGGAATTTTGGTCATGGATTGAAGGGATCTGAGAACCCATATTCTGAGATAAGCCTAAGGACATGTTGCTACTGTTTCCATAAAGTTGGTTGCCAATGGCATTGCTCAAGTTGGGTGGCTCTCTTGCACTTTCTTGTGCCAATGCATCACAAAAGGCTCTGTGAGTGATGAAGCTGTCCCGTCTGCAATCAAAGAATTAAACATTTATCATACCAATGATAATGTTTCACTTATTTCTGGTAATAAAACTATATAACATAGCAAACATGATATCTAAAATAATAAACTAAAAGACAGTAGCTATGATATTCAAAAGAAATCTATAACTTCTGGTAATATTATTTTTTTAAAGTAACAGTTGAATAATGAGCCAAATGGGAGAAAAATGCCATAAATTTTATCTACGCTAAATCAAAAAATATTTCAGAAAGGAAAAATAGATTGGGTGGAAGAAGAGTTTGATTGAAGAGCATATATTTTAATTTGCAACTTACCACATTCTTTTAACACAATTAAATTCGTCTTATATAATATATATATATATATATATATATATATATATATATATATATATATATATATATATATATATATATATATAGATAGATATATAGATAGATAGATAGATATAGATATATGAGTGCAGCTTTTTTCACACAAATATTGAATTGAAATCTCTATATTACCTCATCATATTAATTGAGCCCAAGACAATTATTTATATTTTTCTAATTTATAAAAATTACAAATAAATTAGGACGTTACTTCGCAAATGCCTAGTGAATGAAAAAATTTAATTAAATTATTATCTATCTGGTTTTCCTACGTTTCTCATAGAAAACATCGTAAATAATATTAAAAAAAACATATTTATTTAATAATACATCTAAAGAAAATGAACAATTAACTAGAAAGATGAAGGAACTAGTGATGACCTTATGCATTTTAAAAGTATTATTTTATTCATTGTCGGTGTATTCATATAACTATTGTTATAATTGAGTTTAAATAATGTTTGTATCACACTCAACTTTTTTTTGTTCTTATCTCCGCACTCTCATTTATGGAAAAATAGAGAGAAGAGAAAAAAATCAATATAAGCCAAGTTTCTTGTCCTTTCCTTTTATCATAAATAGATATTGGAATAAAAAACAGTTTAAAATATATAATATTAATAGAATAAATAAAGAAGTCACTGAAATAAATTAACCGCTTCACAAAATCTTCAAAAAGAAAAAAAAAAGTTGGCTATAAAACAGTCTCACAGATTGCTAGATGATGGAGAAGTTGGACTTTCCTAGTAAAAGACAAGAAAATCAATTAAAGGAAAATATCAACATAAAGGACACTAATGAATCATAATGAGGCTGAGGATAAATATTTGCGTGTACTTGTGAAACGAGAAGTTAAAGAAAAGAACAATGTGAAGTGATTAAGAAAATGTGTAAAAATTGTGAAAAGGACAAGTTAGAGATATGAACGATGTAGGTGAAATAACTTAACCAAAACTTGACTAAAAGACTAGTCAAAAATTGAACTAAGATATACCCTTTCAAAAAATTGATGTCCAATAAATGGAACCGGAGAATGTGTATAACTTCTGCCAAAGTCAAGTTGTCAATCAATCAATCTCACTATCGAAGGCTTGTGTTCAAACGGATTCAAATTTTTCTATATGTGTCTGGGAATATGTATACATAAATACACAGACACGTGTGTGTCAAAATATATGTATATATATAATTTTCTTTGGTTCATTGTTTAGTTTGTATAATAATTCCAAAACCTACCAAAATTGTTAAATATACATTCGTTTGTATATGTAATCTTATGTACTTATTTTGACTGCAGTTCTGAACCAAGCATGAACACTAGGTTCTCAAAGTTTAACATCAAATAATGTCAAAGAAAAGAGAAAAAAAATAGTGGAAGCAGAAAATGAGAGAGTTTGTTAGGCCCTGACGTTATCATATGGAAAGGAGGACCTGCAAGAGAACACAGTACTGAACACATCTAGCCAATTCACAAGAGAACAAAAGCCCTAAAATACCACACTGCTCTAGGGCCCCCTTCTTCTACACAGCAAAACAGCACGTGAATAAGAAAATAAAGGAAGACATTTCCTACCCCCACACTCATGCATGTATGTAAGGAGAGAGAGCTTAACGCCTCACCAGACATAGATGGATAGTGCATGAATAAAATTTCTATGGGGTGAACAAGGTCTGAATAATGTATAAAAAAAGGGCAAAAACAGCTGTAATTTTAAGATGAGATAACAACAATGGAGTTTTTTAATTTTAATTTCGTTTTCTCTCTTTGATCAGAGACAAAGAGATAGAGAGAGAGAGAGAGGAGGGTATGGTAAAGAGAATTTATATGGATTTCTATGTTTTATATTATAAACTCTTTTGAAATGAGAGGTTGATGGACATTAGATAGTTAAGGATGATATAATAATTTATTGTGCAGTAAACTGTTCTTGGTTGTGCTTTTTTCTGATTTTCAGAGATTATTCACGTGGGGGGATGTTTCCTTGCACTTCACTTGGCCACCGTACCAAATATAAGAGAAAGATGACAAAGGAAACCATACGAGAGAGGGAAAGAGAGGAAAGAATCTGAATCAATTGGAAGGAAACCAAACTCAATAGAAAAAGAAAGCATCTAAGCCCTTTTCCCCACTATAGCCACTTGAAGAATCTAATAATAAGCCTTAACCCCAGACCAAACTAACCTAAATCAAACCAAACACCAGTACTTAATTCTTCCTTCTAATCTGCTCGTCACCCAATTCTCTGTTACATGACTAGAATATTGCATAAAAAAATGCCATATGAGAAGATTTTTTGTTTTGGAAATGTAAACTTGTCAATTTGGCATGTAATTGAGTTGTGGATTGTTGCATACCTTGAGAAGAGGGTGCCACAGTCACATCTATACTCTCTGGTGCCACAGGTTTTGGAGTGTGCTTTCCAATCTGATTGAACAGCATACTTCTTGGAGCACTTGTCACACTTCCACTTCTTCTCACCATGTTTGCGAGAGTAGTGTTTCTTGATACCAGTGAGGTCTCCAAGAGCCCTTGAAGGATCATGGTGAACACATGTGGGCTCAGGACACAGATAAACCTTTCTCTTTGGCTCTTTATTAGTCTTCTGCTTTAGCTTCCATGGCAGGTTGTGTCCTCTTCTGTGAAGCTGTAGGTTTTGCTCCCTTTGGAACCCTTTGTTGCACACTTCACATATAAACCTGTTTGTTGCCATTAGAGTCTTGGGAGAGAGTGCTATCACCTCAGCATCTGGATCTGCATACATACATACATACATACATGTTCCCGTTCCAAGGAGGAAAAATTATATTAAATAATGCCAAAAAACAAATTATTAGAAAATTCACAAGATTATAAAAAACTATTAAAGAAAGCAATTGATTTTGTGAAAGCTTGAAGACAAAGCCAAAGGTTTCCAAAACACACCGCCATTTAATTTCCATATTCCATTTCACATTTATGTTTCAAGGTTAGGAATTAATTAGGGTTCCCCACCCCAGATAGGTATTACTCATTGCAAAAAAAAAAATTATAATATATTAAGTGGTATAAAAATTAAACCGTTTGTAGAAATGAAGCCAAAAAAGAGAAAAGTCAATTCAGTGAATTGATGAACAATAAACCAAAGAGTAGATTTTCTTTTATATGTATAAAGTTTTTAAGATACTTGCTTGGTGTTCCAGGTTGGTTTCTCCTTTTCTTCTGAGGTGGTGGTGCAGCTGGAGTTGAAGAGGATGATGGTGTTGTGGTTGAGGAATGCTGCTGCTTCATTTGATTCTGATCCTCTTCTCTGATTCCAAAGAGAGATGCTGCAGAAAAAGGTGCTGCCATGTCTTATAGCAAAACCTCTCAATATAATTAACCTTTTTCTCAAAGTGTATTTGTCCCTCCGATGGGAGTGTGTTTCTTTTTACCTTCTTGACTCAAAACCTTACACCTCAATCAGAATTCTGGAAAACCCACATGCAATTTGAGTCCTCCAATTCTTGTCCCCAATCTCAAAACTCAAAGGCAATAAGGGAATTCGAATTTTCCACAGAGAAATAAAAAAGAGAGCCTAAAAGGGAAAAACTTCCATGAAAAAGAAAGTTTAGAAGCAGAGAGAAAAAGGAGTAGGAGAGGAAGCAAAAGGGAAATTCAATCAACCCCCATGGCCACTTGATATGAAATATTTTCTCTCAACTTGGCTTTGTTTTAAATGAGAAATTTTGAGGTAGAGGTTTTATGAGTCTCTTCCACTGATTTGGTGTCATGCAGATACACCAACACATATGCACACAAACCCCATTTTGCTTGATTGTTTCTTTTTCCTATTTATTTTTATTTTCCTCTCTTCAAACTTTTTTCCAGATTTTGCTCAATGCTTTTTTCAGCATTTAATGAAATTTCACAAAATGGAAAATTGATGTGTGAGAGAGAGAAAGGCCTACGGCACTGTGGACCCAATCCTTAGTCACATAACGACATGAAATGTGTGTAAGCAACATGAAATGAAACAGCTATACTCTCTCTCTCTGTCTCTCTCTCCTTCTCTCTCTTATTTCGCATATTCTGACTCACTCCAAGACAAACTTTCACTAATCACCAAGCCCCACTGGGCCCCACAAAAATTCATTAGCAAAAACAATAAAAAGTGATGAACTGAAACCGCGTGTGTATTATACATAAACTGGTCCATAAACCGTATCTGTAAAACGATGGAAGTTACCAGGTTTGAAGTGACAGAAAAAAGTTCAGGGTTCTTCAAACTCAAGTTTTAATTCCAGTTGTTAAAAGAGCTGTATCCTTTCCCATCAATTCATCTAAATAAATGATGTTTAATATGTAACTTTCCAATACAAAAAAGTCTCGGACAATGATAATGATAGAAATTAAATAAGCCATCCTTTTAATTTCTTAGCATTCAATGGTCATCATTTGCTAGTTTCACTGATTTGAAGTGAGCCAAATAAATTTATTAAAGAACGTTAAATTCTCTTCATACTTATGTTTTTACTTAACTAAAACCAAACGGAGGAAAATAATAAAAAAAATTACGAGGAATATTTTTTGAAGAATAAAAAAAAAAAAACTTTTTATGGAAGTGAAAAGCACCTGAGGATTGATTGGGGAAGGGACTGAAGGAAACTGTTGTCTGAAATTCAGTAGGGGCAGAGTGTACTGTGGCATTACCGTTTAGGGACATTGACATGGAAAGGGCAAAAAAGGTTTCTGCACCAACCTTTGCTCTGTTTAGCTGCCTTGGGTTGCATGCAATGATGCAATACCTCCCCAAAGTCACATCAGGGAGGGACATCAATAATACTACAAATAATCTCATTTTTTTTTTTTTACAACTTTTTTTATTTACTCTTTTTTGTCCTATTACTTCTTAACCCTTTTCTTCTTCCTCTTCAAATATACAACACTTCCAAAAGATTAATGGTGTATTGGGGTGAAGAAATCAAGAAGATATGACAAGATCAAATTAATCTAGGCAACTAGGTCAATTTTTTTTTTCTAAATAATGAGATTTTATTTTTATTTATTGCTAACTTTTTTTTCATTTTTTTTTTATTTTAGTTTTTTTATACTTATTTTTATGTTTTTTTCCTACTTAATTTTATTTATATTTTTTATCTTCTATCGGGAGATATATGTATACACGAATGTATTGATGCATCCTTTTAATTTTGTTAAAATTATTATTAAACATAAAAAAAATTATTTTATCCCCTCTAATCTTACATATTTCAACGTGTTTATCATTATTTTATAATAGATTTATGAGTAATTTAAGAATGTACCAATACATAAAAAAATGTTTTCCTGATTTTATATTATTTAAAAAATAAATTATTACACATGACTTAGTTGTTATATCATCAACGACTCAGCTTAGTTGTAATTTATGTTTAATAAATAAAAGAAAATAAAAAGAAAAAAATAATTAAAAGAAAAGAGAATTCACTTTGTAACTCTTAACTTTTATTATTTTTCTTTTCTTTCTATTTTAATTAATTCGATCTCATTCAATTAATATAATTATTATATACCAATAAATATGATAAATAACTAAAACATCAATACAATACTAAATACAGTTAAATTTAGATATATTGTTATTATTTGATCTTCCTTAATAAAAATATATATAATAAAATTTTATTTGTAAGGGAGGGACTAATTTTTTAAAATAATTAGATTTAATAAAATAATTATTTTTATTATATAATAATATAATGATTATATAATAATATGACCATCATAAATAATAATAATAATAAACATTACATAATTATAAAATTAATAAAAAATTAAAAGATTAATAATGATAAATTTAAGATGGAAATATATTAAAATAATAGTATTTAAAATTAATGTGAGTAGTGTAAGATACATAAAAAAAACTAAAAAAATAGTATATTGTTTATAAAAATAAATAATCTTTCATTTCTTTAATCAAAATTATTTTAACTCAAAAATTATTTAATTTTTTCAATTGTATATTGATTTAATTAAAATTTCATTGTTTTAAAAAAATTAACAATTGAAACGATTGTCTGATTTTAAAATAAATGTATAAATATTGGTTATATTACATCACCCTTTCTTTCACATGTCATTGACAATATATTTATACGTGGGATCATACTTTTTTATTACTGAGTCATTTCATTTTATTAAAGGAATTTGTTTGATTTTTTATTTTAGTTTTTAAAATAGTTTTAGTAATCAATTTAAAAAAAATATTTTAAACAAAAAATAATAATCATAAATAATCATAAAATTCCGTTATAAAAATTGAGAAATAATTTTAATAACTACATAATGGTAAAAATAAATTATTTAATATAATTATTAATAAAAATATTAATACCTATTAATAAAAAAACATTTGATCCATTTTTATTTTTAAAATTAAAAAAAATGTTTTATAAAATTATTACAAAACATTTTTTTATTTTTAAAAATTAAAAAACTTAAATATATTGCTAATAAATAAATAAATAAGTCCTAAAGTTTTATTTTTAAATTTTTTCTATTAACTTAGTCTGGTCAAATAACACAACACTATAATTGCTATTTAAATAAGTGTAAAAAAAAAATTCAATTCACCTCGACTCTCGTTTTTATTTTGGTATAAAGTAATTGTTTTGACTAATTTTAAATATATATATATATATATATATATATATATATATATATATATATTCTTAATTGCCCTAAAAATAATTACTAAATTATAATAACTCCATGTAGTATACTTTTTAACACAAATAATATATATTTTCTTGAGTACTACCACTATTTCAAAATATATCAAACATTTTCTAACTAAATATAATATATATAAATTGTAATATCATTTATTTATGTGTCAATTTTAAAATCATATAAAAAAGAAAATATGATAAATTGATTATCAAAAATATATTTATATATAATTATATTTCATAATTAGAAGGGTATTGAGGTTATTATAGTTCAATATTAATATGAATTCTACTAAGTGAAGGGTTGTGTTTGCATTCTATAATAAATATACCATTCTAAGTAGTTAATGTCCAAGGTATTCTATTAGCACAAGTCAATTATCGTAAACTTCTTTATTGCCTCTATATTATTCTTCATAATTTAAAATTATTAATAAAATTTAGATATATTATTAAATTCAATAACACACAAATTCAATAAAAGTTTCTTAATAATAATTACTCACGTTATTGTTAGGCATGTTATCTCAAAGACATATTGTCTTGCATCACATCACATCACCATAATCACACGTAAATAACATTAACTATACATCTTTTTATTTAAAGAGAGAATACTTCTAAGTTATAAATAATTAATTTATATTATTATATTAAAAAAATAAAATAAAAAATAAATCTTTAATTCTTATTTTTAAAATAAATATTTGATGATAATTTTTATATTAATTAGTTTGATTTAACTTCTTAAAAAATTATATATATTTATATTATTATATTAAAAAAATAAAATAAAAAATAAATCTTTAATTCTTATTTTTAAAATAAATATTTGATGATAATTTTTATATTAATTAGTTTTATTTAACTTCTTAAAAAATTATATATATATATATATATATATATATATAAAATAAATTTTGTACTGATGTTAATGTTTTAAAAAAAATTATTTACTATAAAATGTGCTTATATATATATTATTGTTATATTTTAAAAATTTTATAATTTTAAAACA